ATTCCTATAATGACTGGACTATTAGTTAGTGACTAGTATATGTTTAAAAAAAATAGAACAAAAATATCACGAATATGATTTCTGTAGTTGGTTTGCATTTTCCATCAAGAAGGGTAGCAATTCATTGGGGTCGTGTGCTCTAATTGATTAAGCTTAAAGCACTTAAGATTAAGATGACTATAAATCCCGAATTTGTCGCGACACTCCCAGAGTCTTACCTTATGTTCCGGATTTTTCTAGAAGCAATATTCGTATCGGATTGTCACAATTTTTGTAAAAGATTAAAATTTTCAATATTTACTTTAAATATATTTTAACTAAAATTACTTTTTCAAAATTTGGACCTAAAAAGTGTATCAAATACTTGAAATAGACGTGCTAAACCCGATATTAATACTAAATTTATTAATTAACTTTAGGTAACAAATTAACAGAAGTTAATTATGAAAACAAATGTTCAGAATTTCATATAACACTTAGAAGAGAAAAAGATCAAAGTTCAGGATAGGGATGTGTACAGTAAAAGTGATTTAAAAAATAATAATTATTAATAATATTTAAAAATCTTTGAATTTTACGATATTTTCAAAAATTCTATTATCAACTTCCCGTAGGGATCAAACATTTTGGCATACCTCAGAAAAAATAAATATATGTGTATGTGTGTTCGGATACAAATTTTCGTCGGCGATTTCGGAAACACGGATGAACCGATTTGAATAATTCAAAAAACCATTCGATTTGTATTGATAGGGAGCCGTGCTGATTAGTTTTTGGCAATGGCAAGTCGTAGATACGGAGAAAAAAGTGCTAAAAAATGGTAATTCAATTTTTGAGATGACTGAGCGTCCTATGCAAATGACTCAAAAATATTTGCATTGACGAAATGAAGAACTGATTAAATTTTTGAAAAAATAAATTTAGATTTTGGGCGCTTACGCGCTTTGATATATCGTCTCTAAAATAGCTTACGATTGCTTTTGAGTTTAAAAGTTTAAAAATTTATTCAATTTTCAAAAAATTTTAAAACATTTGAAAAAATTATTTTTCAGTCAATGTCTATGCCATGCACCACTAGTTCACTACATTTATTAAAATTTTTCCTTCTTCAGAAGTTTACGTACCAGATTTAAAATAGAAAATACGGTCACTAGTTGAAGTCGAAAAAATATCCATACATTTATAAATGTTTAAAGATTACATATATCAAATATAAGTCAAGGAATTCACATAATTTCCTTAAAATGCGCATGTTGGAAGTTATAGAAAATCATAATTCATGTATTATCGTGAAAATCGCAATCAATTATTAATTATTAATGAGAAAGTTAAATGCATCTAACGCGAACCTAAGAATTAAAATGCAAAAAAGAAGCAGTATGAAATAATCACTAGCTCTTCCTCTATTATAAAAGGAAGTCAAATGCAGGAAACAATGATTGGTGTGTATTAGCATCGCAAGTTTAACAGAAAACATAGTAATTTTCATACTAACGCTGTTATTCAAAGGAAGAATCAGTTGGCATTTTCATGTAGCACTTTATATTAGATTCATGGAATAAAGAAGAAAACAGTTATCGATTTCATATTTATATATAAAATTATGCGATGCATAATTTTTAAGATAAAAATATTATAAATTTAACAGATAAGAAAAATAATTGAATTTTAAATAATTTATGTAAATATTTATACAGTCTCTTCTGTAATCAACTCAAGATCGTTCGGAGTAAAGGGTGATAAATTCTCGAACATATAAATAAAATAACTATAAAATAATATAAATAACTGTAGATTATTGTAAATAATTCGGGCATATTTTTGTATTATTATATGAGTCATAAAGAGAGAGATCTTCATGGTATTAAGATTTTGTACCGGAAGGTTGTTACCCCGAGTTGGGGGTAGCACAATGTTGAATCGACCTTTCTTTTCACTTCTAAAACTAAAGTCCACCTAGTGGCATGAGTTAATAAGTAATAAATAAATATCTAGTAAATTTGGATCAAGTAGTACTTAGTAACATATCATTGATAACAACTTGCAACAAATACGTAAATTATTCGGAATGAGGATTCGGAATGAGGATTCGGAAGGAGGATCATGAGAGACTTTTACATGGTCTTATTTATTAGTTCTATGTCTAGCGAAAAGGATGAGGTAGTATTATGTATTTTTGAATAAGTTTATATGTCCCAAAAACGTAGGTTTATTCACATTTTTATAGTGACAGAATAATCAAATATAGTCCAATAATCACGCACGTGTTTCACCAAGTATAATATTATATGCTTAATAAAATCAATACAACAGTTACAGATATAATAAAAATATTAATGTTTTAACAATCAAACCGTTTTGATATATCCGAGAAAATAATGTGTATATGCAAAAAAAATTATATGTACTATATGCATTTATGTATGTATCATTGGATATATTCAATACAAAATCACAAAAAGGAAATAATCAGATCCAAGTGAGATGGATCAACGCCTTCCTAATAATAGAAGAAATTCGGAACATTTGTATCTTATGCTTATAAATTATTTTTCTTTCGTCATAAAATAATAAATTGACTTTAATACGTCTCTTTACTTTATTTACTATTCAGTAGTTTTTTATGTTTCAATTATTAATGAACTTAAAATTATTAAGATAATCAGCGTGTTAGATTGTTCCACTTCCAGTTGAACTATATGATTAAAATTTCAAACAATATTTGATTACCCAGTTAACGTGAAAGTTCTTAACAACTTTATATTTAAAGTTATAGAATCGACAACCAATTTGAAACAGAAATCTATAAAATCTAGTTCCTTCAAGAAAGATCCAAAAATGAATAACGTTGCTCGTTATAATTGAAACACTCAATTACTTCTTTGAAATGCATTATAGATTAACCGGCACGTTAATCACATATGTAAATGCCAATATAAGATTAATGTGAAATTTCCGTTTTCATATGAATGAATAGCGACAAATTATTTATCATAAGAACGACATCAATCAAAGTAAGAGTTTATCATTAATCACATGTAACGATATAATTATTATTATGGAAGTATATAACTTTACACTTGCCAGTTATTATTTTTATTTATATAACGGTGATTAAACTATGCTTATTAATTTGATAATGTGCAAGTACCGAGGATCTATTAAACTGCATTTGTTGCGATTGACTTGATTACTTCGAACGAGTTGTTACAGAATTTATTGGAAGAAGATGAAGCGAATAGAAGGCGGAATATATTTATATAAAAAAATGCAATTTTTTTATTCTGCACAAAACAACATGTAAAAAAATCCTATTTGTAAAAAATTACGTATCGGCAGTTGTTGCTCTCAATATAAATTGGTTAAAATAAGCACTGTTGCCGACAACAGGCCATATTATTTTTTAAATATTTTTATTTTTCGTTTTTTGTTTGTATCTTTGAACAAACAATATTTTGGCTACACGAATCGAAAAAAAGTTTCATATTTTGATTTCAAAATTTACTTTAGTTTGGTGACCTGGAAACAAACTTGGGAGAATTTCTAGTTTTCACTCCCAGTTACTTCAAAGGTCCTTTTATCTTAATTTTCTACTTCCCAAAGAGTCTTTAACCACATGGTTTCCAATCTGTAGAACGCAAAGCTGTTTCAAGGAGGGTGTACAGTTGTTTCCTAAATACTATTTTTGTTTCTATTTTGAAATGATGTGAGATAAATGAATTAATAAATAATTATTTTTTAAAAATATTTTCACATAATACTTCATAATGATTTTTAGCCTTATTATGATTAAATTATAATAGTATTGAGTATTTATGAAATTAGATTACTAGAAAAATTAAGAAAATCACAACATTTTTTTTAAAGAAGGGGGGATTAATTATTTTAAATAATTAAGGAGGGGGGCGGTGCTAAATGGTTGGAAATCACTGCTATAACCACTTTTTGCAAAGAGCATGTTCTTACTTTGTAAAGCAATATAATTCTCAATTAGTAGTACTCCTGACAGTAAATCTTAGTTAGATGAAACCTAACAGCCAAATTAATACCTTCGTTTATTTCCTGTAATTCCATAGCAGTAGCTATGCAGTTAATAGCAAGCATTAATATTAATTGAATTACATATCTAATAATCAAAACAAAATCTGAGTGAATGATTTTCTCTCTTATATATTCCTCCACGAATCTAACTGAGTGTTCGTCGCATTTTCGGCCGACATAAATTTACAAACAATTTTAATATAATTTAATTTATCCTATTGATTCTTTTTTTAAGCAACACTGACTAATAATTTACAATTAAAATTTTATCAAAGATAATAATCTTAATAACTGATCAATCAATCCTTTTATCGATCAACTGTTTATCGCTCCTCGGTGAAATTTTAAAATATTTTTTGAGAAAAATCAGTGAATAGTTTAACAAACCATATATTTTTTGATACATACAATGGATGTACGTCTGTGCTGTTCTACTTGAAGAAAAAACAGCAAGACAATATTAAATTTTTCAATATTAAAAATGAAATGCTAAAAGCTTTTTCAAAATTAATTATTTAATACTAATTAAGGTAAAGTAAGTAAAAAGTAAAAGTAAGAAACAAAAAGTGCAAGAATTAGAGAAGGTACTATTAACAAAATAGTACTAGATGATGGCAGATAAACATGCAATGTCTCAATTTTCAAATCCATTGTTACGTAAATAATTTGTGTAAAAGTATTTAAGATTTATTTATGTGACAAAGAGTTATATAAATGTCAGATGACAAAATAATCATCATATGAGAAACCTACGAATGTCTCCCATTAACCAGATAAAAAACTAAAATACACAGAAATAAAATTTGTGAATATGCAATAATAAAAAATACATTATTGGTAGTATTCTTATATATATATATATATATATATATATATATTGAATATATAATGGGGATATTTGATTTTAATTTTATATTTGTAACTTATGATAGTTATGATAAAATAATTCAATAACTTACGTCTTCCTCATTTGTAACAGGAATTCTTGGTGGATCTGTAACAAAAGTAAATTTTTGATTAGATATACAGTTGTCATTGTCGAGATGAATAATTATAATAAAATATCATGTAGCAATATGCATAAGATAAAATCTGATATTGAATAATCTACCCCCAGATACGGTAGTGACGGGCATAAAAATAAACAATAGATATAAACACCAAAATGGTTTATAACGACTTTTATTGTCATTGTAACAATAATATGTAATAAACTAAATATAGCAATATATAACGAAACATATTTTTTAAAACAAAGTTAACAAGAATTCTTTGTAAAATCTTTTTTTTTTCTTAAAATGAATTTTTCTTTCCCTTTCTCTTTCGTATTTAGTTAAATTCTATATGTTTGATCTTCACTCGCAAAAAACAAGAAATATATATCACCACCATACTCGCAAAATTTGTCACAACCGTACCCAACGCACACTTTTTAAACCAAATCATCATTATGACAGATTATGAGGTAAATTATGTGAGCAAAAACTAATTACTGACACATAACTACTAATGTTAGCAGCAAAAGAAGAAAAGTGATCTATCTGTATACAAATAACAGTTGCAATTAAAAGAATTCGAACGTGAAAACTTACTTTTGACTCTTTAAAAGCAATGGGCTCTACAAATCATGTTAATGTAATGTAGACACTGACTGAAAGCAATAATGGAAACTTATTCGAACAATCATACTTTATCTTTTTCCCTTTGACTCCTATCTCAAAAGCAACTGTCACTACCGTACCCTAACACAACCTAGATTATATTATTAACTTCCCGTAGGGCAAGTTATAGTAATCACAAAAAAATCGAAAATGAAAATTTTTATATATCTTTACGTTTCAAAGGTTTCTGAACATTTTGGCATACCTTAGAAAAAATGGATGTATGTGTGTGTGTGTGTGTGTGTGGTGTGTGTATGTATGTATGTATGTGCGTGTGTGTATGTATGTGCGGATACAAATTTTCGTCGACGATTTCGGGAACACGGATCAACCGATTTGAATAATTCAAAAAACATTCGATTCGTATTGATAAGGAGACGTGCTGATTAGTTTTTGGCGAAGGCAGGTCTAGCCGTTCCGAAGATACGGGGCAAAAAGTGCCGAAAACGGTAACTCAGTTTTTAAGAGAACGGAGCGTCCGATTTGAATAATTCAAAAAACATTTCACTTGTATTGACAAGATGAAGAATCGATAAAATTTTCATGAAGGTAGGTCTAGCGGTTTCGGAGATATGGAGGAAAAAGTAAAAAAATGAGCCATTTGGCGGTCAAAAATGATCATTAGACATATGCACATCAAATTATCAGATATTTTAACAATAAGTATACATTTTGTTAACATTTCTATGGGTTCCGTACCAATGCTTATACGTTAGACAGCGACGCGGCGCTTACGCGCTTTATATTTTGTCCCTATGCAGTTAAAGCAGTACGATTGCTTTGAAAAAAAGTTCAGATCTTCTACAATATGTCAAAATAAAGAAAAAAAATTTTTTTTTTGAAAAAAAAAAAAATGTTTTTTAAAAAAAAAATTTTTTTTTTTCAAAAAAAAGTTATTTTTTGTCCAATTTATAGTTTCTCAAAAATCTTATTCTTTTAAAGTAATTTTTTTTCAAAAATATTAATTGTTTTTAAAAAAATAATAATTTTTGGTACGGGAAGTTCCAGCAATTTGCCTTAAGGCACGATGCCTTAATTGCCTTAAGACAGAATTCCACTTACAGCTAGTTTATATATTTTTATTGGCCTCACTTACTTGAAGTATTTAGCCACCTACAATAATTCATTTAGATAAAAATTCATTTAAATTATACATAAATACTTTGCAGAGTGAATAATTATAGAAAACCTTAAGCAGCGGTTTCCAACCTTTTCTTCCTTGCCCCCCCTTTCGAATGAAAAAACTATTGCTACAATAATTCATTTAGATAAAAATTCATTTAAATTATACATAAATACTTTGCAGAGTGAATAATTATAGAAAACCTTAAGTGCTTAATAAGACAGCGATTGTGTCTCTACTCCACATAAACACTTTTGATTTTCTTAGAAGTCCCGAGATGTAATCCTCACCTTTCACTATGCATCCCGTGTGATATTTATAAATATGCAAATAAAGCTCTCAAAGACAGAACAATTATAAACAACAGAGCGGGGATTTTACATTTACTAAAATTCGCACAAATAGGATTATGAATAAAAGTCCATAATGTTGACCGAAAGTATTAAATTACCGCCAGAGGATTAAAGAATGCTGCAAGAAAGATTTTTCTGTACTTCTTTTTGCCGTCAAACAAAAACCGCAATTGAATGTTTACGATTATTTCTCGATTTTTGAAAGTTGACATTGCATTTTTTGGGAATACTTATATAGCAAGTGCAGTACCATAATTTAATACAAAGTTTGAAAAATAATGACTTTAATTAAATACGTTGGATTAATTTTCTTTATAATTTATGCAAATTCATTTAATTTTGGCTTTTTAATATTTTTTATTAAATTTACATTACATACTAAAGTACAACTGTCACAATGTTATCTCCACGATGAGTATGTATGATAATAAATTTACTGCTGTTAATAAGCCGCATTTTATAGATGTATGTGCATGTAAGTACTTATATGCATATATGCATATTATATATATGTACATATTATATCAATTAAAAAATTGAAGAAATTTATAAAATCTGTACTATTTCCAAACATTTTGACATATAATCTTATGAATGGAATGTGATTTGGAAAGTTAAGTGTTAATTGATAATGATAATATACATACATATATATATATATATATATATATATATATAGTTATATACAATTTAAAAAACAACTTTCAAAAAACGAGATCTCAAATATTACAGGTTTATGGTATTAAATAAATTAATTCCTTCATACAACAGAAAAAATATACTTATATAGTTAATATGTAACTATTATAACTGTTTTTTAACTAATAGTTAAATCCAAAATCAACTAAAAATTCCAATATGAAATAAGAGTTGAAAGGCGTATATACAATTGAAATAAAATGTAGAAAAAAGGAAAATTAAAGTGATGTTATTTTATTATTCAGAAATTTTATTTATTTTATTTATTAATTTCATTTTATTATTATTGCTTTTATTTTATATTAAATCAAAATTAAATTAAATATTTTATTTTATTATGATTTGCTTTTATTTTATATTAAATCATCATACAACGGATCATTTTAATGTAAATTCTATCCTTTGTACTCTTATTTATCTAAATTTATGTTATTATTTATCATTATTGCTAGATGTTATATTATTTAACAGTTTTAATAAAAATTGTAATTAAAAAAAGTGATGTGTACAGTTGTTACTTTTCAAAAAGTGGTAAATATTAAGAATAGTTAATTTTCATGTTGAAATGTGCAAATGACATCTTGAAGGGCATAATATCAACTAGAAAAAAAGAATTTTTTTGGAACAAATTTATTTTCTCAAACGTTTTGACATAGAATTTTATTTTAATATTATGAATATCAACAAAATAAGAATACAATATGACCATCAACAACCGAAAACTGGAAAGCAAATCATGTGAAAAAAAATAATACAAAAATTTAGAATTTCGTTTCGTTTAAGTCTGTGTTCTCTAAAAACAGTTAAAAGATTTCCTTTAATTGCATATATAGTTATATATTAATTCACAGAGTTTGTTCAAAAATGAAATAATCCGAACGCTTTCTGAAATAAATCGTAGTAGATACAGCTTTGTAATAATTTTTTCCAAGATAATCTAATATATTACTTAAATAGGGGCCATATATAGGACGATTTGCCAACAAGTATCTGAGTATTCATTTTTACGATTTATCATTAGTGATTAAAAATGAATCAATTGTTGAATTACTACACAGTTCATTACACTATTTCAGTATAAAACAGTCAATATAATGTAGAATGAATCAAAAATAAGTTACTCGACGCCAATGTTTTAAAACTCTCAAAACCACATAAAACAGGACCAAAAATATCAATTTCATCTTATCGAACAAATTCATTCAAGATCTTTCAAAATATTGACGTCTGTAACGTATAAGAAACATGATACGCATAAAAAATAATGTCTGTCGCCATAATAAATTGAGTTTATTCGTGATGATATTTCTTAATATAAGGCAATATATCGGATTTCGATCTGATTTCATTTTTTAATCTTTTGGCCTGAGCGTGTAGTGGTTTCGCCTAATTTCATTAGGCATTATCATTGTTCATAATCTTATTATATTAAGGTTTTTAGAGCAAATTCTCATAGAATTTGAGGATTATAGAGCAACATGAAAGTAATGCGCATACTATTAAAAATGACATAGTTTTTATGAATTTTGCAATTAGGAACTTGAATCGAGATGATATTTGAAAATTATTTCCAAATTCAATTATGATAGCTAAAAAAACTTATTTAACTTTAGTTAAATCGATACATTTAAGTAATAAAATTGTATAAACTAAACTACAAAAAATTTTTTTTTTTTTTGGAAAAGAGTAATAATGGAATTACTGCTGCCAGATATGATGTGGGTGGGCATGTATGTCTGTATGTCATAGTAAATATTTAAATATATAAAATAGTCATGGGTATACAGAAGATATCCCTACAATCATGCATAAAATATGCATCTGCAGAATCAAGTAGATACTTTTATTTTATAGACATCGAGTTTGTTGACTCTTGTAATACTCGTTTCCTCTTTGTATTATTGCAATCATCTTTATATTTACATTTGTAAATTTATTTTTATTGAAATATAGCCAAAGCAACAGGCAGACATACAATGTTAAATAGTAAAAACAATCATTTTCCTAGCCTGTCGGTACAAAAATTCATACTACTAAATTGCATTAATATGAATTTTATATAGTGTAATTCAATCAAACTTCGTATGAAAATAGCATGAAAAAAATTTTGAAAATTAAAAAAAATAATTTTAGGTATAACTTAGCGACAAATCAATTA